GAGCCAGCTGGTTTCCTGAGAGGACCAGGGTGTGCAGAGCTGCTCTGGGCCTCTGGGCCCGCTCAGGCTACTCTTCGCAGTGCCAGGAGCAACGTGGGCACTTGGTGCCTGCCCTGACTGTGTGCTTCTCAGAATCTCTAGACTCTCTCTCCTTTTCTGAAACAGAAAGGTTTGCTGAAAAGTAGGCGGTGAAGGAAAGAAACTCCCTAAGACGGGAGGAACTCACCACAGGACTCTCCTTTATACATTCTCTTGAACTTCTCAAAGATATATCACCATTGAATTTGAAGCGTGATAATTGGAGAGCTGGCTGTTGCGGTAACTGACTCTTGGTGGCAAGGAAGCTCACCATTACTGAATGCTGGCTCAGATCCATTTCTCATTTTCTTAGCATACTGAAATTGCTTTTTACATATTACTGCGTTTAGTTCTGGTAATGTGAGAGGTTGGAATGTTAATCATTTCTTGAGAGATTAAGATACTTGCCTAATCTCATGAAGCTGGCAAATGGCAGAGTCTGGAGTTAACCTGATTCAAACTTTTTTTTTTAATAATAGAAGAATTTTTTTATTTCTTGCAAGGAAGGTACAAGACGTGGTTGGCATTATAAAGAAACAGCTGTTGGTGCTTCATAGGAAGCACTTCGCTCAAGAGATAAGGGAATTGAATAATAGTATGTGGTATTTATATTTTTATCTGTATACATTAGTAGGTATGCTTGTATATATTAGTTGATATGCTTCTGTTGATGTATGATATTTGATGTCTTAACATCTCTGAAGTCTTTCTGCTGAGACCAAGGTGAATGGATAGAAGGGTGGATAGATGAGTAGATAGATGGGTAGCTAGGTGAGTGGATAGGTGGGTGGGTAGAAGAGTGGGTAGGTGGGTGGATAAGTGGGTGGATAGGCAGGCGGATAGATGGGTGGATAGGTTGGTGGATAGATGGTGACGTTTTACTTTATTTTTCAAAATTTTATTTTATTAAAGCAGTGACATACTATGTTCCATCACAGCTCCGCCTCCAGTACAACTTCCCGTGGTGGCCTTTTAAAAGAATGTGTTATAGTTAAGGTCATGTGTTCACAATGCTGCAGACATTTATTATCTCAGTTTATGTAGTTACCACCTCACCTCACAATCACTAAAGCATCCAGACTCTCCACTTTGTCCCCTTAAGTCCATCTGCTGAAGCTCTCATTCCTTCCCTCCCTCCCTCCTTTCTTGCCTCTCTCTTCTCCCTTGTCCTCCCTCCCCCCCTTCCCCCTTCCCCCTCCCTCCCTCCCTCCCTCCCTCCCTCCTTCCTTCCTTCCTTCCTTTCTTTCTTTCTTTCTTTCTTTCTTTCTTTCTTTCTTTCTCTCTCTCTCTCTTTCCCTCTTTCTTTCCATCTTTCTTTCTCTCTTTTTTTTCTTTCATTTTTGGGCCATACTCAACAGTGCTCAAGACTTACTTCTTGCTCAGGGATCACTCCTAGAGGGGCTCAGGAGATTGAACCTGGGTTGGTGAGTGCAAGGAAAATACCCTACTCACTGTAGCATATCCGCGGCCCCATCAAGCATTTTCTGGATGCCTCCATTTAATAAGGAATCCTGTGTCATCCTGTTTCTGGAGAACTGTGACCATCTACTGGATTCATGGAAAAAAAAAAAAAGCTTTGTAAAAGCTTTGTAGACTAGAAAAACTGCCCGCCTTACTCGTCTTGTCTTTCCTCTTAGATTCTGTCCTGTGGGGCTGGTGTTAGAATGGAAGAAACAGTAGGCTGGACATAATTTGTTTGGAAGAAAACCCAGGCCAGGTCCTGAGGTATCTGGGAGTGAAGAAAGCCAATGGTGCACAGTAGGGCGGGTCCTCACTGGGTGCCTGAGAATACTTGCCCCGAGGCACTCAGAAAGGGCATGAGCTGTGATAGTGCCATTTGTCCTGCTTCGTACATTAAAAAAAAATACCTGTAATTTCCACAGACAGACTCAGAACAGTACATTTTCAGAGCAGAGAATTTTGGAAAATTAATTGACGAGGAAAGAATGCAAATGGAGTGAAGTGTGCTGATTAGTAAGTCTAGATTGCTGTAGAGATACGATTGGGTTGCCTGAAATTCAAACAAATTATATTTGTGATACAATGAAATTGACATGTACTTCAGAATTTAATTTGAGAAAAGTTATTGAAAATCCCACACAGAGAAATCCAGCTAATGATACAAACACTGCCTGAGTCCTCTGAAGTGTATGCAAGCTGTAACGTCTTCCTGCTTATGTGATTTCAGCGCCCCTGCGGAATCTCTAGACAGAAAGCAAACGAGGGGACACTATATGTTACTTCCCGAGGGTGTTTTACCTGCGACATTTCTGGTCTCATGGTCCAGGCGCCAGGGCCTCGTGTCTCTCCCCTTTCACTGCGGGGACAAAGGTCCTTCCAGTATCACTGTGAGAGTTGCGTCGTAAACCCCGACTACTAGAGATCGCTCTCATTATCCATAAGGTGTCTGTCACTGAAGGAGCTCAGCTGTGGCTATCGACGCAAGTTTGGAGTTGGCAGCATCTGTTTACTATCCCTTGCTCAGAGTATATGTGAAATATCTATTAGGTTATTTCGGAGGAGCATGGTAAAATCTAGGAATTTAGGAAAACTAATGAGATTATAACTTTTTTTTTTTTTTTTTTGCTTTTTGGGTCACACCCAGCGATGCTCAGGGGTTACTCCTGGCTTTGCACTCAGGAATTATCCCTGGCAGTGCTCAGGGGACCATATGGGATGCCGGGAATCAAACCCGGGTCAGCCGCGTGCAAGGCAGATAGTACAGCCCTACCCGCTGTACTATTGCTCCAGCCCTGATTATGACTTTTTTTTTGTTTAAAAATGGCTTTACGAATGTGTAATGGACACATCACTGCATATATCTGTGTGAGCATAGGTAGATATATGAGCAGTTTGTATGTTCTGAAACGTTTCTATTCTTGTGAAACATTCACTCGCCAAAGTTTCCTGTTGCCTTCCACGAGCCCTCTTTCTGCCTCTCTCTGAACCTTTCCATTCTTCTTGGTAGCCTTCTGCATTACTTGTAGGCTGGTTTGCATTTTTAGAGCTTTCTACAAATTGGATCCTACACTATACCCTGCTGTTGACCTGGTCTGACTCTGCTTAGCTGTTTAGAGCTTCATTGCTGCACATAACAATAGCTTGGTTCCTTTATAGGAGTGGGTATTATGCTGTGGTAGCGAAACCACAATTTGTTTCTGCATTTACCATTTGGAGGATGTTTAGGTTGTTTTTTCCCTTTTGGGCTATTATAAATAGATCTTCTTTGAACATTATGTGCTCGTCCTCTTGGATGGGTGTTTGTTTTCTTTCTCTTGAGTAACTACCTCGGAGGGGAATGTTAGATCATTTGGCAATTATATGTGCAAATTTTAAGAAACTGTCAGAGTATTTTACTAAGTGGACGTGGCGTTTTGTATTTCCACCACCCGTATGAGTTTTAATTCCTTTACATCCTTGAGAGTTTGGAACAAGCGATTTGGTTTTTTATTTACTCCATTCTGTATCATTCATCATATTAATGAGCTTTTATTTTTTATTTAATTTATTTTTGTTTATTTTTTGAAGAGGCTTTGGGGAACTGCAGTGGTACTCAGGCCTCAGTCCTGGCTCTGTGCTCAGTAGTCACTCCTGTGTGGAGATCAAATCAGGGCTGGCTGCATGCCAGACAGGCCACTTAACAACCTGGTTCCTTATTCGTGGCCCCCATTTTAACTTTTTTTAATTTTAGGGGGGACTAGAGAGATAGTACAGTTGGTTAGGGACTTGCTTTGCATGTGGCCAGCTCAGGTTTGATCCCCTGCTGGCCCCTGAGCACCGCCAGGAGTGGTCCCCGAGTGCAGAGCCAGGAGTCAGCCCTGCGCCCCGTCCGGTATATCCACCCTGGTTTTGTTGATTCGTCTGTTCTGCTTCTGTTCCTGTGTCCCTGTCTGCTTGCTGCTGCTGTGTTGGGGGTGTGACCAACACTGCCTGGAGTCTGCCCCAGGGCTGAGCCGCGCCACAGGTGGGGTGCTGCCCCCCGCCCTGCCTGGGCTCTCTCACCCCTAAGTAATGGCTCAGCAGCACCCACACATCCTGGTCTCATGTGTTTCTGTTTGCCCTGATGGCTCTGGATGAACTTTGGATTCTGTGGAGCGAGACAGATCTGGTCTTAAAATACATGAGGTGGAGGCTGAGCTTCCTTCCTTCCTTCCTTCCTTCCTTCCTTCCTTCCTTCCTTCCTTCCTTCCTTCCTTCCTTCCTTCTCCTCCCTCCCTCCCTCCCTCCCTCCCTCCCTCCCTCCCTCCCTCCCCTTCCTTCCTCCCTCTCTCCCTCCTATCCTTCCTTCCTTCTCCTGGTAGTGCTTAGGGGATGACTAGGATCCGACTCTAGTTGGCCGTGTGCAAGGCAAGAGCCTACCTCACGGTACTGTTGTCCTGGCCCTAATTCACCCTGTTTTGTTTGTTTTTGAGCCATACCTGGCAGTGCTTTGGGGCAGCTCCCCAGTTGGTGCTCAGGAGCCACTCCTGGCAGGGCACGGGGACCACAGGGAACGCAGGCATCGAAGCAGCCCTTTGAGCCGCCTCTGGCTGCAGCCCGCTCATCTGCAGCTGGGTACTAGATGGGGTTTACCTTGCTGAGGACTGGATAGTTTTCCTTTTCTTTCCCCTTGATTTCTTTTTTTCTTTTGGACATTTTCCAGCTTCTGTGACTATTCTTTAACAAGGGGCCACTCCCAGTGATACTCACCTGATGAGTGCTCAGGACTGGCAGTGCTGGGGGCCACGAGGGTCAGCCCTGCAGAGCTGGGGCTGCGGGGGCCAGCCCAGTGGTGCTAGGGTCTGCGGGCGGAGTGGGGGGGGGGGGCTCAGCCCTGCAGTGCTGCATGCTTTGCCATGGTCAATTAAAATGACATTTGCACCTTGAAATTGTTTTTGTAATGTAACCTGTATTTCATGTACTTTTCATCTGGCCTATTGAAGCAGAGGTAGTCCAGAGACTGAGTCTGTCCACGTCCTGAGCACTGATGAAAAGAACAAGTTGGGAGCCAGGATTATCAAAGCAGAGATGATGGGAAATACGGTAAGGCTTGAATGTTGTTCTTTTGGAGAATAGCAACGTCTGACTTCTTGGGAGTCATTTTAGACATTCCTTGGCAATATGGACATAAACACACGTCAAAAATAACTGTTGCTTACTGATTTTTTGGTGGTAGGTGGGGCATGCTGTCTAGTCAAGGTAGGGCTTCTTAAGCCCTTCTGCTCTTCTTCAGGAAATTAGGGATGAAACTTATTTGTTTCGTTTTGGTTTTGGACTCCCACCATGCAGTGCTCAGGGCTGACTCCTGACTCTGTGCTCAGGGATCACTCCTGGTGGGCTTAGGGGACCACAGGGGTGCCAGGGATGGAACTCAGTCAGCCCTGTGCGTGGCCAGCGTCCTCCCTGCTGTCCACACGGGGCCTAGGCATGGAGTTTGGGTGGTTTCGCTCTCTCCCTCTAGTGTTCTTCTGGGCTGGTACTCTTTGAAGCACTTTTTCCTGAGAGGCTTGTTCCGTTAATCCACATGAATAACTGCCACAGCGTTGAAGGAGTTTGTAATGGAGACAAGTTCATCACAAATGTAAAATACTAGGCCGTGGGTTGAGAAGAATTTAGATGTTGGCCACATGGGTGTTTGCTATGCTTGCTTTACTTTCAGCTCTATAAATGTGTAATATTCTGCAGTGAGGAGTTTAATTATATGTCACACTCATTTTATGTATATTTCTTTTCACAGGAATTAGCTGAACAACTTAAAGCCCAACTTGAAAAGGCAAATAAATTCAAAGACACCATAACACAGGTATCATCAAAGAAATCGGAAGTCAAGGTAAATAACGAAGTTTTGTTGGTGTTGTAGGATGATCTCATATAATGCCATTCCGTGACTGTGGTGCTACTTCAGTGAATTGCATCACTGTGTCAGAGAGAGAGAGAGAGTGTTTGGTTTAAAATTGTTTTAAAATTTGTTTACACAAAACAAATTGCATGTGACCAACCCGGGTTTAATCCTCAACATCTTATATGGTCACCTGAGCACCACTAGGAGAGATTCCTGAGTGCAGAGCCAGGAGTAACCCCTGAGCACCGTTAGGTATGGCCCAAAAAAGGGAAAAAAAAGGATCAGAGGGCATCAAGGGCCCTGGTTGAAGCTGCCCTGGGGGCTTGGGGGGTATGGGGGGCTGGGCATGGACGGGAAACAATTAGAGGGAGGGAGTAGAATCTCCAGGAGAGACTTGGGGAGCCCAGAGTGTGCTCGCCTGGACACCCTTAGTCTGGACCCGGGTCTTTGTTCTACATGAAACAAAAAGCTATTCAAGGGTTTTCAGCAGAAAAGTTCATTTTTACAGGGCCATTGTGGTTTCATTTTTAAGAGTAGGAGAGCCTGGACAGGAGACTCAGTGGGTTTTTAGCTTTGGTCTCATGCCTGTTGTTCCCAGGCCAGCCCTGGCAGTGCTCAGGGTCCGAGCCAGCTCCCAGGCATGTGCTCCAGCTTTTTGAGCTGTTTCTCTAGCCCCAGACTGCAAAGAACTTTAATATTCCCTGTTGGATTTGTCTTTCTTAATTATGGTGGTTTTTTTTTCTTTCTTTCTTTTTTTTTTTCATTTTTTGCACCCTCTAAATCTGTGCCTATCTCTTCCCTGACACTTGTCATTTGTGTAAGATGGTTCTGAAGCTCTGGCTGGATGTCAGGGGATTCTCAAAATTGAAAGCAGTTAGCTGAAAACTCGAAGCAGACCTTCTGTTACATAACATTTCTTTTATTGCTTAAAGAGTAATTGACAGATTGTTTCTTATCCCTTGGAAAGACATGGCCCTTTGGAACAGCTTCACATAGGAAGACTTTCATCCTGAAGGTTATTTTACCAGAAGTGAAATCTTTCACCTGCTCTGCCAAGAAGGGATGCTTCCATTGTCACTCGGTTTTACCAGGCTTGTATGTATGAACCAGCCTCTGTCAGCTCCTTGGGAAGATTCTGCACCCCTGTGAAGTCATTCACTCCACCAGGGAGAGCACTTTTACTTGTCTATCTTTTTAACCTTTCAGTTTTTGGTTTTGATTTTTTTTTTTTTTGGGGGGGTTGGACGCAGACCCAGCACTGCCCAGGGCTCATTCCTGGCTCTGCCATTCTCATTCTCCGGGTTCACTCCTGGTGGGCTTGGGGGCCTTATGGATAGCTGGCGATCAAACCTGGGTCAGTGATGTGCAAGGCAAATGCCCTACCCATTGTACTAACATTCTGGCCCTTATCTACTTTAATAATAATTTTGTTAAGAGATAAAATCAAAAGGAAGGGTTGTATTGTACTGCACAAAAATTTGATGAGTTTTTAATAGGAAAATCCTAAAATACTTCAGGTTGAAATTTTGTCCTTTTAGAGAAAAGAAAATCACAGTCATAGGGTAACAGAGGAATTCCATTATTACTTAGCTAATTTTGAAATGTTAGGTTGCTTGAACACAGTACATCTATTGATTGATTCATCTGTGAATATAGTTTTGGCTTTAGTGGAAAACTCAGTCCTTTAGATTGCTGATTTTCCTATTTTCCTTGCCCTTGCTTATTATTTTAGTGTTTTATTATATTTTTGGCCACACCCGGTGTGCTCAGGGGTTACTCCTGTGTTTGTAACTCAGGAGTTACTCTTGGCAGTGCTTGGCAGTACAAACTCCAGGTAGGTTACATGCAAGGCAAGTGCTCTACTCCCTGTATTATTGCTCTAGCTACAAGAACTATTGTTAATTGTTATTATTATTATTTTATTATTATTTGCTTTTTGGATCACATCCAGTGATGCAGAGGGGTTACTCCTGACCCATGCACCCAGGAATTACTCCTTGTGGTGCTCGGGGATGCTGGGAATCAGCACATTGATGAAAGAGAATTCAAGGAATCTGACGCTGCTTTTTTTACCCCCCCCTTTAAATAGTATAGGGAATTGGGCTCATCATTTGCAGTAAACTGTGAAATAGTCATTGCATAATGGTACGGAAGGTTTAAAATTTTGTTTTCTCTGCTGGCAAAGAAGAGAAATATATTTTAATCTCCAGATACTTGTGTGAAGAGGGTGTCACGCATTTTCTTGAAAAAAATTGAGGAATTATTGACAATCTAATTGCATTTGAGACTTCTATATTTTCTTGAAGAATTTCCCTCCCTTCCTCCCTCCCTCCCTCCCTCCCTCCCTCCCTCCCTCCCTCCCTCCCTTCTTCCCACCTTTCCTTTCCTTCCTTCCTTCCTTCCTTCCTTCCTTCCTTCCTTCCTTCCTTCCTTCCACCCTTCCACCCTTCCTTCCTTCCTTCCTTCCTTCCTTCCTTCCTTCCTTCCTTCCTTCCTTCCTTCCACCCTTCCTTCCTTCCACCCTTCCACCCTTCCACCCTTCCTTCCTTCCACCCTTCCACCCTTCCTTCCTTCCTTCCTTCCTTCCTTCCTTCCTTCCTTCCTTCCTTCCTTCCTTCCTTCCACCCTTCCACCCTTCCTTCCTCCCACCCTTCCTTCCTCCCACCCTTCCTTCCTCCCACCCTTCCTTCCTTCCACCCTTCCTTCCACCCTTCCTTCCTTCCTTCCTTCCTTCCTTCCTTCCTTCCTTCCTTCCTTCCTCCCTTCCACCCTTCCACCCTTCCACCCTTCCTTCCTCCCACCCTTCCTTCCTCCTACCCTTCCTTCCTCCCACCCTTCCTTCCTTCCACCCTTCCTTCCACCCTTCCTTCCTTCCTCCCTCCCTCCCTCCCTCCCTCCCTTCCTTCCTCCCTTTCTTCCTTCCTCCCTCCCTCCCTCCCTCTCCCACTTCCTCCCTTCCTCTCTTCCTTCCTTTCTTTCTTTAGCCATACCTGACGATGCTCAGTGGTTACTCCTGGCTTCATGCTCAGGAATCACTCCTGGGTGGGGTGCCAGGGATTGAATACAGGTTTGCTGAATGCAAGGCAAATGCCCGACCCACTGTACTGTTGCTCCAGCCCCCTTGAAAGGTTTCTTCTCATCATGGATATTTTTGAGGACATATGGAAGAATGGTATTTATATGATCTATTTGCAATTTAAGGGAAAAAGGTTAAAGTGAAACAAGCCAGCCCAAAGTAAGTATTGTCCTTGTATGTACAAAGATATAAAATTTACTTTGGCCAAACTTAGTTTTCTACTAAGTTCCTCCCCAGCTGTGGAGTTTCTCTCTTTCCCTCCTACTTTCCAATAACCCTTTGTATTTCAAAAAGAAAAAAGAAAGAAAGATATTCACCAAATGATAGAATGTATAATAACATACTGTTGGAGATAGCTGTACAAAGTCGAGTGGAGTGTGTTTTAGGAAAGCTACAAGTACAGTTTCTAATTCCTAATGCTTAATGAAAATGCAGCTTCTGACTGATAATTGGAGTAGGCAGTAACAAAAATTTATGAAGAATAAAAAATAATATTGTTTGAGTAAAAGTAAACATCAAAACTCAAATAAATAAAAGGAAAATACTTGAATTTATCTCACATATTTTCTGTCTCAGAGAAAATATTCATGGTGTTTGTTATCTTCCTCTCTATGCAAAAATATGTATTAAATCACCATGTGCAATTCTTTGAATTGTTTAAAAATAAAGTTATAGAATCTAGTTTGGTTTAGAAATCTTTGCTATATTAGCATCTTAGGATATGTTTAATAAGAATTACTACCATTGGAAAACTACTTTGCATTTAATTTTCTTACTACTATTTTTTACTTTCGTTATATTTTTCATTTACTACATTGAACTTTAATATTTTATTTTTCAAGACAACAGTTCTGATTTACATGGATGTTATTACTGTTTCTGCTGTAATTATTATTAGCAATGCGTGATGCTTGTTGAGGGCACACTCTGTACCAGAACTTGTGTTATGTTAATCCTTATTAAAATTCTATGTTATCATTTATTCTTATTTTTTAAAATAAATTAAATGCAGGATGAACTGAATCCCACTAAGTTCCAAATCACTGGCAAGAGAATAATGTTAGTATGTGTTAAAATTAAATAGGGGCTTGAGTGATCATGGTACTACTTTGCATAAGGTCGACTTAGGTTCTATCCCTTGTACCATATTTTGTCCTCTGAGCCCTGCCAGGAGTGATCTCTGAGCACAGATCCAGAAGCAAGGCCTGAGCTCTGTTGGGTGTGGCCCCAGCCACATCCCCCTTTCCAATATTTTTTTTTTTAAGTAAGTGAAAATTACTTGTAACAAAAGAAAATATTGCTGGGGCTGGAGAGATAGTACTGTGGTTAGGGCTCTTGCTTTGTACGTGACTGACCTGGGTTTGGTCCCCTGAGCCCTGCAGGGAGTGATCCCTGAGAGCAGAGCCAGGAATAAGCCTCACGCACCACTGGTGTGGCCCCAGAACCAAACAACGAAACAAAGCAGAAAGAAAAAAAATATTGCCTAAATATTGAGACCAATTTCATATGTAATAGTTATTCAAGCTCCACACAAAAATTAAAGTTACTGAGAAATACTCATGCAATCACATAGAACTTTTTCCATTACAGTGATTTTATAAAGGGGCTTGGACTAAATAAATTTAAAAACTAAAAAGTTATTTTTACTTAAAAAATTTCATTTTTTTAAAGCACCATGATTTACAAAGTTATTGATGGTTGGGTGTTAGACATAAAATACTCTTGCACCAATTCCACCACCAGTGTCAATTCCCTTCCACCAGTGTCCCCAACTCCCCTCCTGCCCTCCAGCCGGCCACCTTGACAAGCACGTTTTAAAGTATAATATATATTAGCTTTAATAATTTGAAAGTTTTCAGGGAAATCAGACTTAGCACTGCGATAAACTTGAAGCCAGCTTATAATAGTTGTCTGTCTTTATGATTGGGTAAGAGCCTGAGTAGATACCCTTTAATATGCAATCATTCATTAATTTATGTTAATTGATTAGTTGAAGAAGAAAAGTAGTGATAATTACTGCCCACTTAGTATCAAATGTGAATATAAGATCAATAGTCGGCATGTGTTTTTTTTTCTTCAATTTCAGCAGGGCATTTAATCTTTGTTATATGGAAATAAAATTGATTTTTAGTATTTGATTCTGATTTGAGAAAAATTGAAATGTGAATAATTGCCTACATATTTATTTTAAATTGATTTTTGGTGAAATAGTTCTCTACTATTATTTTTGGAGGGAGCACACCTGGCAGTGCTCATGGCTTACTCCTGGCTCTGCACTCAGGAATCACTTCTGCCATGCTCAGGGGACCATTTAGGAGGCTGGGGATTGGACCCAGGCTGGCCACATGCAAGGCAAACACCCTCCTCACTGTGCTATTGCTTTGGCCCCTCTTTATGCGATAAAAGCATCCTGTTCTTATAACAGAATATTACTTATATTTATTCTTTACCAGACATGTGTTGGCTAAATGTTTATAAGAACAAAATATTTTGGATTAAAAGTAGGATATAAATTCTATTAGAATTGAGAGATGTGGAAAGCATCTTAGGGATTTTAAAGGCAAGAACAGGGGCTGAAGTGAGTACAGTGGGTAGGGTATTTGCCTTTTCTTGCCAACCCAGGTTTGATCTCCAGCATCCCATATGACCCCTGAGCACCTCCAGGAGTAATTCCTGAGTGCAGAGCCAAGGGAAACCCCTGAACATTGCTGGGTATGACCCAAAAAGAAAAAAATTGATAAATGAAAGAACAACTGGTATGGAGTATCATTGGCAGAATTAATAAGTTTGCTTTTCCTTGAATTCTTGTCACCAAGTTTCTACACAATCTTTATTTTTTTTATTTTTATTTTTGCTTCACTTTTTTTTTTTTTAATTTAGAGAAACACCATGAGGCACAGTTGTAGACTTAACAGATTTTTGTACTTGGGTTTCAGTTATACAATGATCAAGTACCCATCCCTCCATTAGTGCCCATTCACCACCACCACTAATCCCAGTATCCTCCCACCCCCTATCTCCCCATCCCACCCTGCCTCTGTGGCAGGGCATTCCCTTTTGTTCTCTCTCTCCTTCTGGATCCACACAATCTTTAAAGGAAGAACCTCTCTGGGGCCTGAGAGGTAGTACAGTGGGTAGGGTGCTTGCTTTGCACCTGCTCTGTGATCCCTGAGTCCAGAACCCGGAGAAAACCAAGTGTAGCCCAAAATCCAAACCCCAAAACGATTATTGTTCTATTTTCTTGGGTAATGAAAATTTAGGAAATTTACTGTAAGCCGTATTATGTCAAAACTAGCATCGTTTTGTGATTTCTTTTATCCAATCAGAGTGCACAACTCTTTAATACTCATTTCACACATGATCTCTGAATCCTTTCACAGGGTGAAGATGAGCAGGAAGTGGTCCTGGTCCGAACAGATCATTCTGGGCACGTCTGGCCTGTGAGCGCACCAGCACAATCTGCAGAGTCTACCAGGGGAAGAAGGAAGAGATCCATGGTACTTAGAATCTAGGTCCAGTGTGGAATTCCTTTGGCTCCCTGGGGGGTTTTCTTCGCATCAGACTATTGAAAAATATTTTTCAGAAAGTTGCTTTCTTATCCAAAACTTAGAATGTTGTACTTCTGCCTTTTACAAGGTAAAATCAAATTCATTTATAATTTTTGGATAAGGCTGAACGTTGAGTACTTAAAGCAATTAAATTGTTAGTGCATGTATCTTTGCTATTATTTCTTGTTTCTTTTTCCATTGTTTTTGCATCTCCCAAGCAGTGTTCAGCCAATTGGACAGCTTGGGTCCTGCCATGCTGGGGGGTCCCTAGACCACCCTGGCATTCTCCTGGGCTGCAGCTGTTGCTGACCATGTGGTGCTTGGGACAGAACCGGAATTGGCTGCAGCAAAATATGCCCCATCACCCCTGCACCATCTCTCTGGCTCTCATTTGCATATTTATTTTTGTTGGGGGGCACACATGTTGGTGCTCAGGGTTTACTCCTAACTCTGTGCTCAGGGTCCACGCCTGATGAGGCTTGTGGGACCATATGTGGTGCTGGAGATCAAACCAGAGTCAGCTGTGTGCAAGGCATGTTCCTCACCCGCTGTACTGTCACTTCAACCCCTCTGTTTACATCTATCCTCAGAGTTCTGAGGGAAAACCTTGCTTTCCTGACCCGTGGTCTGCTCCAGCTAATCTGACCTGTTGACGGGCTGTGCCTGTAATGGCAATGCCTTAATTAAAGTTCCTGTGATACTGTAGACACCTAATTTTCTTTTCCATCTTCCAACTCTAGAAATTCACTTTAAGCTTTTGTTTGTGTGTTTGTTTTCTTGCTTGTGAGTTTTTTCACTTGTTAGCTTGCTTGCCGATCTCCCAGCGGAGAGGGAGAATCATGCCCAGGACCTCCTCTGGCAGGGCATACAAGGGCCCTTTCAGAGTTGGATGCCCCTGCAGGCCTACACAGTCAGTCCTGACCTCAGTAGCACTTCTCTCATCACACGTAGTATAGAATCAATTGGTAGGAAAACCCAGGACGGAACAGATGGGAATAAGAATATAAACAGTTTCTGATCTTCAGTGTGGGTTTGCTAATACTTTGCCTTCATTTTCCATACGAAAGCTGACATCTGGATAGTTGAAAACTATTTTCCACCTTGAGGTGGTATTTCACTCCAAGGAGAAGAACAGAGGACAGGAGGGAAAAAGGGATAGAAGGTAGGGAACCTTTTCTCCAGACTGCAGAAAACAGATAGTTGAGTCTTCATTTGAGGACCTAAAGGTCATAAGGGCAGAATAAATAAGGTTTTTAAAAAAAATTTCCTTAGTAGAAATTTTTCCACCTGAAAGCAGGTAGAGTAAGAGCTAAAGTAGAAGGAAAGATTGTGATACATTGTGGATTTTAACATGGTATATCAGTTTTGATGCCGTTCCTTAGAAATATTTCAGAAACTTACACACTTTTTTTTTGTGTGTGTGTATGTATGTGTGTGTATGTGTGTATGTACCATGATCCATCACAAAACATTTGGTTGTTTCCATATTCTGGCTATAGTGTTAAGTGCTAAAGAGAACATAGGTCTGTGTATATTTTTTCAAATTAATGTTTCTGTATTTTGGTGGTAGGTGCTAAGAAGTTTAGTCGATTGCTCATAAAAAAAGTTTTATTCTTGGGGCTGGAGCAATAGCACAGCAGGTAGGGCGTTTGCCTTGCACACAGGTGATGTTGGTTCGATTCCCAGCATCCCGTATGGTCCCTTGAGCACCGCCAGGAGTAATTCCTGAGTGCATGAGCCAGGAATAACCCCTGTGCATCGCCGGGTGTGACCCAAAAAGCAAAAAAAAAAAAAAAAAACTTTATTCTTTTTTATTTTTCTGTTTTTGTTAGTGAAACACCATGAGGTACAGTTGTAGACTTACAAATTTTTGCGCTTGCATTTCAGTCATACAATAATCTAGTACCCATTCCTCCACCAGTGCCCATTCTCCACCACCAGTGATCCTGGTAAAACAACCAGGACCCACAACCTTAACTTCATCCCCTCACCCCGCCCCCGCCTCTGTGGCAGGGCATTCCCTTTTGCTCTCTCTTTCCTCTAGGGTGTTGTGGTTTGCAATAGAGGTATTGAGTGGCCATCGTGTTTGGCCACTCCTCTCCCATCCTGAGCGAATCCTCCAAACACCCTTTACTTGGTATTCCCTTCTCTATCTGAGCTGCCTTTCCCCCCAGCATGTCCTGCCAGCTTCCAATCCGTGGAGCAAACCTCCTGGTACTTATCTCAACTATTCTTTAGTGTTCGTCAACCATTCTGTTAGTTTATATTCCACAGATGAGTGCAGTCTTTCTATATCTGTCCCTCTCTTTCTGACTCATTTCATTTAGCATGATACTCTCCATGTAGAACCTTTTGTATGCAAATTTCATGACTTCATCATTTCTAATAGCTGCATAATATTCCATTGTTGCATACTTTCATTAAGTAGCATTTATTTTTGTCTTAGGCCTCTACTCATGAAGAGAAATCAAGGGTTAGATACTTTCATGATGATGATGATCTAAGCTTGGATGATTTAGTCAAGAACGAGAAGATGGGAACTGCTGAAACTCAAAACAAACTTTTTATGAGAATGGCATCTAAGGTAAGGTTCCTTCCAAGGATACCTCTGAACTTTGAAAAGTTGGGGATTCTCGCTAGCAACTGTTTGCTCTTCAGAAAAAGCTGGTTTTTCAGATCTTAACTTATTAAATACTTTATAAGATATATTAGGAACACACAGAATTGATTCGATTGGGACCACGTATTTGATTGGGACAACTACTCATTAGGGACTTTGAATATTTTGATTTTGGTTTTGGTATTTGAACCTGGGGTCTCCTGATGACTCCTCGCCAGGAGTACCTAAGTGCTAGCAAGTGACCCCAGACCATCCCAGGCATGTCACCAGCCCAGCCCAGGCACATGGCTCTGAGTAACACAGGCGTGTGGCCCAGGCTGCTGAGCAGAGTCTTCAGCGCCAGGATGTGACTTTGCAGGGTTTTCTCCGCCTCTCTGTATTTTCCAGGGGGGTTGGTGTATAATTCATGAATAAAAGGAACAGTCACAATGCTGCGGCCAGGGCTGTGTGCCTTATTCTCACAAACCTGTCATGATCTCTGTGCTCCTCGAATTTCCTGGGAGAGCACGGTTTATAGAAGCTTCTTTTTGGTGAGAAAGTTTCTTCCTTTTAACATCACAGAAATGATTTGATTCTAGGAGGGAGCATGGCTAATTTTGCCTGAACCTTCACATTTTACCAGTAGGAAAACTGAACCGTCTGCATGGATTAAGTGTGTGTGTGTGTGTGTGTGTGTGTGTGTGTGTGTGTGTGTGTGTGTTGGGGGTGGGGGAGAGGAGGTGGGGCAACATATCAAATCAGGCTCCTGAGTGAGGGCAGCCACCAGTGCCAAAGCGTTGGCTCTCTTCACCTGAGAACCTGGTGTGGAGTCCAGCAGGGACCAGGAATCTGGGGCCCTGCCAGGCCACGTCCCAGCCTCGCAGCCCGGCTTTCGTCTTGCAGGGCAGCCTTCTCTGTTTCACAGCGCTGCCTTTTCAGTGACTCAGAGGAACAGATAGTTGCTGATTGTTGCCTACATTTAATTTTCTTTGTACAATTTTCCATGTGTCACTTATTGGTATTTGGGAATAAGAGGTGTGTGCTTTGCTTTTTCTCAAAATACACTCGATTGACTCCACCATTCTTTAAATATAATCTCTTCCATTTAAAATCTAGGACGTCAGTGTTTCCTTGGCAACGTAAACTTGGGCACATCTTCATGAGTTCTATATCCATCTTTTCTCATTAATTTTGTTACCACCGTGGGCAGTAGTTTTACCCTTTTTGTAGTGCTAGAGAATTAAAAATGAGCTGGGAGGGGCGGAAACTGGGAGGTAAACCAGAAGAATGGGGAGACGAAAAGGAATGGTGATTTTTCTCTTAAGTTGCAAGAAAACAGGATACATTGGTGTCTAATAAAAGCTGCTATTTCTACTGTTTTACCCAAATTTGTGACAAAGCTTGATATTTTTTCATGCAAGTAGTCTTTAAAATACTCACTTCGTATTCCTAGCATTTGTCCTGGAGCCTGAATCCTTCCTTTCGTAATGCTCACTGAGCTAGCAGTCATCGCTCCCAAGCCATGAGAGCTGCCTGGTCTCAGGGCCCTCGGGAGGGGGGTGCAGCCACTGGGGCCCTCCTCACTCTCCAGGCTGCATGAGGCACAAATGGACTTGGGGGGACGAAAGGCTAAGTGAAGTCACGGGAGTGGTCCATTGACACCACCTAGGAAATGTTTGGAATTTGGGTGTCAAGTCATGATGAATTTTGATTTTGTTTTCTAAAAGATACAGGCATGAATCCAGGTCAGCCTGCTAAACAAAATAGTTGCCTATTTTATGAATTACATCCCTGCCCCGCCCCGTTAGAAAACCAGAGAAGTAATTCACCTAACAGATTTTTTCAGGTCTCATTTCTTTTTCACTTTATGGTAAAGTACATTTACCAATGTTTAACCATGAAACCTTTTATAGCTTTTACAGTCCAGTTACATTTAGATTCACAGTGTCACACAGTCATCACCTCCGTCACTTCCAGAACAAAATCATCCCCAACAGAAGCTTTATCTAACTCACTGCTCGCCCCCACCCACACGTTCTTCAGCCCTGAGTAATCTCTGTATGTCTCTGTGCATTTTTATGCTCTAGAGAAGTTAATTGGTTGAGTATCATCTCCACAGAATTACACGTAAGTCAACAACATGTGTTGGATCAGAGTTCTGTCTCTGACTGTGATCATTGTCCCTCTTCCAACAAAGGCTTAAGGGAAGGATTCAGATTTATACCTACTGGCATCCTGTGCTTGATGCAATAAAGCCGGAGATTGGAAAAGTAAACATAAGATCAAGCAGTACTGACTTCTGAGAAAAATGTGAATAAATCTTATGAACAGTCTTCTTGAAAATGTTATTAGACTTAAGAGAAAAAAAGCACTTTCCCCACACTTCTCAGTAGTTTTATGTTAAATTATTGATCTAGCAAAGCCAGGATGATGGGGATTACCGGCAACATTTCCAGTTCTTTTAGACCTAGAAACGCTTCTGTTAAAATCATTGCCCCTTGTTTATTATAACTAGCACTGAAAGTTTTTTGTTTGTTTACTTAGTAAGAGTGTGGGATGCAGAATCTCCAGTGTTTTTAGTTATTAATAGACCAGACCTCTTATTGCTCCTTAAATATCCATGTGTATCCTCAGTGCCTTGTGGAGCATTTCCGGGCTGAGATGTGCATCATAGCAGGGATTTCTTCTCTGTTTCCATGCATGTCCCAGGGTGTGTTGTTTCCTCTCTTGAGACAAGTACTTATGAAAAGAGGTTCATTCTTGTTCCAGGAAAACATTTTCTAATAACTTAAATTTTCAGGTATTTTATGATGGACATGAATAAGTCAGTAACCAACTTAAAACTTAAGTCATCTGGGGGTCAGAGATGTTGCTGCATGGCAGAGGTCACACTTGTTTGTTTTTTATTTTTATAGAGTTGTTCACAATAATTCATTGCATTCAGTATTCCAAAACCAATCCCACCACTATTATACCTTCCCCCCACCATTATTTTGAACTTTCCCACTGCCACCCAAACCTCCCCCAAAGGCAGATCCTAAATAATTTATTTTGTATTGCTGGTTAAGAATAATCTGCTAAAAATTATCCAAAATGCTTTCCTTAGAGGAAAGTGGTCACACTTTGTGCGAGTCACTGAGCTGGATTTCTGGCACCAACCTAACAAAAAGCACCCTCACATTCTCCAGCAGTGAATGATCTGTTGTCCCAGAGTATTCTGCTGTGGGTTCAGTGGAGTTCTGTCAGTCTGTTCCCTCTCCGCCCCCATTAAGGCGTTTCAGTAGCAAAGATTCTCATCTGTTCGGCGTATCTGTGTAGCTGCTGTCTTGGATGCTGCAGTGGGACATGATTTACCAGAGCAGTTTTCATCAATAGAGCATGTCAGCCTAGAGCTGCTGTCACAGTGCATTTTATCTGAAGTTTCTCTCATTGGAAACTTCCTAGTCACTTACTCATCATGCTGCGTCTCAAGGATTGTGGATTTTCTTGTGCACTTTTCAGTAATTATATGAATAGCTGACGCACAGTCTCTTCATAAAGGCGATGTTTGAAAGTCTGTTGTCAGTGAACTTAGATCATAGTGATTCTGATTCTTTGTAAAGTATGACTTGTAGTTATTTGTAAAACAGTAGGGTAATATGGTGTTTCCCGGTGTAGTACAAATGTGTGAGATCAAGACCAAAATCTGTTTCATTATATTGCTTTAAATAATCTGTTGTTTCTTGTATTTGTTGAAGTAGAATTTGTTTCACCTTGAAAAAAATTTATTAGTGTTTAGGTTTTATAGTTTTCAGTTAACTTTTGGAAATGTATGAAATCAGTTTCCTTGTTTTCAGTATTGTGAGTATTTTGGCATCATAAGACATGTCCTGGTTTTGATATGTGGTATTTTATATCTTTTCTCTTGATGCTAATCAAATCTTGTTACATTGCTGTCTAGCTTTTGAATTTTTTTTCAGACTCTGGGATTAATTTTATTACTTTTTCTTTTATGTACCATGATTTACAGTACTGTTATTGATAGGGTTTTGTGCACACATTTTTGTAACCAACTTAAAACTTAAGTCATCAACTTAAAACTTAAGTCATCTGGGGGCCAGAGATGTGGCTGCATGGCAGAGGTCACACTTGTTTGTATTTTTGCTCTGTATTTAACCTTTAATTACCAGAGAAGGTGCCCTTAGAACCCTGTTTTTATATTGTGTGTAATTCTAATGTACTTGCTTATTCAGTTTTAGACCAGAAGTACAATACAAGCAGCCAATCAGAAGTCAGAAATGACTGAAAGTGTGAAATCCAAGTTGACAGAGCAGCATGGAAGCAGGCAGAGCCCAGAGACCCTCTCTGGGTTGTGGCATATCACAGGAATTGACCCAACAGCCATCCTATATTAGGAAAATTTCTAAATCTGGTATTCATATATTTTAAAAATTATTTTTTTCACCGTGGGGTAGAGTTACAGACTTACAAACTTTCATGCTTGTGTTTCAGTCATACAATGATCAAGTACCCATCCCTCTACCGCTGCCCATTCTCCACCACCAATGATCCCAGTATCCTTCCCACCACCTCCACCCCATCCCCCTCCACCCCACCCTGCCTCTGTGGCAGGGCATTTCCTTTTGCTCTCTTTTTCCATTTTTTTTTTTTGTAGGAGTACTGCTATTTATTCAGCCACTGATTAGCTGATAGAATTGTGCTTGAACTCCACCTTACTTTTTTTTCCCATTTTTTATAATTTTATTTATTGAATCACCGTGAGAGCAGTTACAAAGCTTTTGGGTCTAAGTCTCAGTCATACAATGAAACACCCGTACCTTCACCAGTGCCCATTCTCCACCACCAAAAATCCCAGTATACCCCCATCCCACACCCTTCCCCTGCCTGTGGGGCAGATGATTTCCACATTACTCTCTCTCTACTTTGATCACATTCACTATTTCGACACCAGACCCACCATTATTTGAGATTTTACCCCAATACTC